TTTCAATCCTTTGAATTTGTAGCATTGAAATGAAAGAAAAAAAAATTCAAGTGGCTGCAAATCATGAATTTGACTTTTTCAGAGGATTAATCAATATCATTGAAAATTCCGTAGCATAGCTCATTCATATATATATATAATTTACTAATTATGCTTCCTGTATCATGCATTGACTTTACATTAATTTTTTTGGGCCAGAGTACCTCCATTAATTTTAATACAATCAATATTAAAGTTTTTTATCGAGTAAGTAAACCGTGCTTGGGCCAAAAAAAAAAAAAAAAGCCATGCGAATTTGCCTTGAATTTTATTGCAAATTATAAAGATATTTTTTGGATTTAAAAAAATAAATATAAATTTCTCTTGAACTTTGTTAAATCATATAAGTAATTTGTCGTCATATATTCTGCATATAGGTGGCAGGCCAATTATTTTGAAATAAACATTAGAATTTTTATGAGGAACCTAATTGATTATGATAAATAAAGAAACGCTAGTTGAAAGTATGATTAGAATAGCTGACTTCAATCAAAATATAACTATAAACCCGAGAATCTAGGAAAAAAATTAAATTGAAAAATATTTAAATATTGGTAAAGTCTCTCAATCCAACGATATATTATAAGCTGTAGGTATTGAATTGTTACATACTTCATCACACATCAACCTTCAAAGGTGCGCTAGCGAGGCACAGACTTAATATTTGCTGACTCAGTGGCATCATCTATGCATTTCTGATCCTAACTTAATGCAGCAAATAAATTAGTTTCGGTCAGTCTTCTTTTTTAATTAACTAATGACTATGTATATTGTTTTTTTATGTAAATTAATTTTGAACGTAACCGAATTATACTTGAGTTACAGAGCAATTTTTGTTATATATAAAAGCAGACTTTATATTTTTTAATACAATCTTTCACCAAAAAAAAATGATGATGAAATATTCTTCAATATGTCATTTCTTCACCACTCTTAAGTCTTATCAAAATAATGAAGGTAATTTTGGAAAAATGATAAAAAAGTCACTTAATTAATTCTAACCAAATTCATTAATTTATAAAAAATAATTAATAAATCTATATAATAAGGATTGGAAAGATTATAAGAGAAATGAGTTCTACTAATTGACAGAATAAAGTTTTAATATGCAAATCTAATCTAGCACCGGATCTAAAATCAAGGGGTAAGGGCGTAACTATTTAGGACTTAGTTATGGATGGAGCTAAAATTGAAAAACATAAACAATATACAAACACGAAATTTTTAAATAGACCGACTGTAATATTAAATAAAAATTAATTTTGACATTAATTATAGTAGAAAAAAATAAAAAATTAAATATAGATTCTATTATAAAAATAAAATTAATTAAAATAATATAATATTTTATTTTATTTAAATGACTCAAGACATTCTTTAAATATATTATAAATAATGAGTCACACACAGTTTACTTAAAAATTTCTTGACAAATACAACACCTACATAACATAAAAAATGAAAATTTGTGAGGGAAGACATGGCCCCGCCTGTCCCATCATACATGAAAAATATAAAAGGTCCATGCTCATAAAATGCAAGTGTTAATTTCAAAATTATAGAGAAAGAGAACAGAGGTCAGAATTTTATGTACACATTTATATATCTAATGTCAAATTTATAAGAAATTAAACTTCACTAATTATAAAGAAGCAAGCTCATGTTATACTATATTGTTATCATGAACATTAATGGTTGAAATATAGATAATAGAAGACAGAATAAAATAAGGCTAATAGGGAAAACAATAACGTGCATGGAAGAGACGAAGGCAAATTATTGGAGGTCAACGGAGTTGATCCCTAGGTTGTCTTATTTTACATTAATTGTTCTCAAACCTGTTGCATTTTGTTTATTTCTTTTCTGTTATCTTTATATTTCAATTTATGTATCAAATAAAATTAAATAAAATAATATGTGCATACTTAAAAAATTCATGACCGCTTGAGATGCTTCGATTTCTTCAAGTATAGACAGATGTACAGTTTATAGGACCCCATAATTTTGCAAAGAATTTAGAGATAATGGAAAAAATAAAAACTGTAGTGTGTTATAGTTATCGACTAATCGACTTATATATATCATATCAATAACTATTTTAATAAATAAATTAATTAATTATATTTCATTATCTCCGACTCAGTCAGTTAAAAGATAGAGAATAACAAACGACTATAAGGTTGTAGGTTGAACCTCTATCTATTGGGCTCATTTGTATGTATGGTCTAGGACTGCACAAAGGACTGGACGGCACTGGACTTCACCCTAACCCGAAGTCCGGTCTCTTTCATGAAAAAGACTGGGTTAGGCAACCCGTAGTCCAGTCTTGTCCAGTGATAACCCGAAGATTAACAGGACCGGACTTGGTCCATAGGACTGGGAGACTGGTCCTGTCAGTCCAGTACTCACTTAGCTTTTTTTCCCTCTTTTTATTCTATGAGAGGCAATAATCCATTCCAACATAATAAACTCAATTAAGATAGTAAAAATACTTATAATAATAATAAATCCATAATAATTTCTAACAATAAGAAAAAAAATATTTTTGTTATAGTCTAAATTATTTAAATTTATAAACTTTAATAAAAACAGTACTCAAAAAATTCAACAACACTATATTACAATAACAATTTAGAAACAAACTTAATAAATCTTTATGCAATCATCTCCTTAGCATCAATTACACTTCAAACATTTGTCAAAAATAAATTAATTATAATTATAATAAAAAAAATTAATAGGACTGGACTGGACCAAGTGGTCCGGATGCCTGGTCTCTTGTCCAGTCCAACCCGAAAAAATAGTCTGGTCTTTTTAGTCCTTTTGGTCCTGAAGGACCAGTGACTATACAGACCGAACAAGACTGAGACCATCTCGGGTTGGACTGGACCAGACAGGACTGGGAGACTTTTGCACAGCCCTAGTATGGTCCATCTATCACGATCCACATAAGATTATAAAGATCAATCTGTTTGAATTTATTAATTAATATAAATTTATAAATAAATATTCCAATATTTTCATTGTCTATTCTGCGTATGTTGATGTGCACCGTATCATATTCTATCAACGACTTGTCATTATATAAATATATGTAAGACATGTCTCATTTTCATATTCCCATAATGACAACCTTATTTTTCTCATTTCTAGTTTATTTAATTTTCGACGTCTCTTGCTGACATTATCTCATCCTTTTATGCCATTTTCAATTCTTTATTCTTTATTCTCTGGGTCTTTTGATTTCATTGAGAGAGCTTTGTTTTTCCTGTAGAAAATTTGAGGAGGCCTTTGATTTAGTGGAATATGACAAAGAAATCAGACACATATAGTTTAACTATATTCATATGCTAATTATAAACTACGTTTTTTTTTATCTGATTCATTAATTTCAGATTAAAAAGGGGGGCTTAACCTCATCTACCCTGCAACCTAATTACGAATAAAACTGTTGAAAAATTCATATATTGATTGGCATAAAATATCTTATAGATGTAAACATTTAGATTGTTGAATGTAGGACTGTACGAAATGACGACCTATAATTCGATAAGTTGGTCAAAAAAATACTGGCTTTGTAACGTCTAATTTTAAACCTCGTTCAACGTGGTTTTGTCAGCATCATACTTCAGAATACTAAACAAATTAACCAAATTTCAACTCTTTTATTTACTATAATATTTTGGCGCAAAAATCCAAATTGAATCGTGAAATTTTTACATGAAGTGATGGAAATCCATATATATTTATTAGTGTTGATATTTATTATAATGTTGAAATCATCCAGTTGCATCCCTCTTGTGATTTAGATAATCCATCCCGAATTAATCCTATAGATCAGAGGCGCCATAAATATATATAGATCTAATTCAACGTCAGAGATTAATTTTTTCTGTTTTTTTTTCCCCTGCACAAGAAGTCACTGAATTGATGGATCTAATTTACCAGGACAAATATATCAGATATATGTACGAGTAGTTTTAAACAGTAAATATTTAATTAATAATAATCTTTAAGGTTGCCAACTCTCCCGATATTTTAATTTGGCGGATAAAAGATAAATCCTCTTTTTCAGTTGGGATATGTAATTAGGAAAGTGACAAATAGAATTATTATTATACCCTTAATACTATTCATAACATTTGAATCTTCTTGTTTTGTAATTTGCACAATTAATCGAGTTCATTTTAGTAATTACAAAATAGTGTTCAAATCAATACACTGTATGTTGCTATTATAAACTTTTCAAAACTCTGGGAGACATATTGATATCCAGATTTGAATATGTTAATTTTCACACAGACAAATAAGCCCTAGCTATCCCCCTAAATATTTCGTATAGACTTGAGCCAGCGAGATGGATCCTCGTTCTCTCTGAACGGATTATATGCTAACAAAAAAACACACACACAGAGCAAGGAGACGATGATGTGGACAATAATATTATACATAAACGACTTTTTCGGATATATTTTTTCATTAAGACAGCTAAAATAATACAGAAACGTAGTTAGAGAGAGAGCTGAGTTTAACTAAGAACTAGTCTTTCATTTGTGTGTTTATTGTTAATAAATGATAGAGGAAAGCGTGCAAGGCAGCCGCACTAGGTTAAAATGCTTGACTCAGAGAGAAGCAAATGAGGAATGAAGAGAAGCTCCGGTCACCGGAGGCTGCAAAAAGTTTGACCCCGAAGGGTTTTAGTAAGGAAAGCATGTGACTTTTTTGGTAATATGTACGAACCTTCAACGATGGCACTTTAAATTGTGTCCGACCATTGCGGCTTCAACCTCTCTCTCTCTCTCTATGACATCTTGTCTCCGACGTTGAAGTTGAATTCTTCTACTTTTAATACATATTTTTTACGTGTTAAATAATAGATTTTTTATTACAACCCCCAACGTGTCTCTTAATTTCAAGTAATTACTTATTATTTTGAGTGCAATCAGATTGGGTGGCTCTGTGTTGTGTTGACATTTTTGTGGTGTGTGCCTGCCGTGTTTGAGCTAGCTAGCCAATCAGTTCCTTTGATTCTCTCTTACTCGATTATTTTTCTTCTTATGAGTCAAATACTTCATGCAAATCCTCCTTTAAATACAAGAGGCGATTTCGAGACCCAGAACTACAGATATTGAAAGAAAAGCGCAGAGAGATCGGCTAGCTGCAGCTATGGAGTTTGCTCTGTGCAGATCTGGCCAAGAAGGTGAATCAGTCAAGGAAGACAAGAGAAGTGAATCTACTGCTGCTGATAATCATGAAGCCGCTCATCATCAAGAAGATACTACTGTTCTCGAGGTGAAGATTTTATTATACTATACATATAAATCACTAACAATACTCGTTTTTTGAAAACGCAAATCTCTTCTTCTGTGTTTCAGTTAATTATTTTTTGTTTGAGTTAAAGATCCTTGTGGGGTTTCAGATTCGACATTCAGAAAGCTTTGTCTCTCATTTATTTTGTTCCGACGGATCTTTATGAAATATTTCAATTCAATTATTGTTTCTTCATTTTTATTTCCAAAATTATATCTTTAAAATAATTATTTCTCTTTAAATTTCTCAGCTCATGTGTATGCGTGTGTGTTCAGTGAGAAGAAATAATTAAACAGATAGCATGCACCCAATATTCATATGCATAAGAAATTGATCGATTGGTTCATCGAAAAAGAGAGAATTACGAAGGGAAAAGGAGATGTGTTGTATAGGAGCCGGGCTTTTAAATTTTGATCAGATTATTTATTTTATCCTATTCACTGCTTCAAGTTTACCAGTCTTTCTAATTACAGTAATTATAGCATATTTACAGCAACCTTAAGTAAGCACTCGTGGTCGTCGAACTAATTAACCATGGAACTTGTCATGACCTGCAGATGGAAATTTTAATCAGCATATGGATATATAAAGGATAAAAGGGTCTGGCCATAATTTTATTTTATGATGTGTGTGTAATTATAAATCCTAATTTTATTTAGCTTTTGTGTAAGAGTTGAGTCGTTGACCGTTGCATGTGTGTTTGGAGGATAAGCTAACGATATATCATATATAGCTAAATTGTGATAATCCCCACACTGCACATGGAAACCAGAAGATTGTCGGCTGTGCACACTCGATCGGTAGATTATCATTATTTTCGTATTTTTCTAACCAGAATTTAGAAGTCTGTTAAAACACTACCGAAATTTCCATGACCCTGAAGAGAAGTTGAGAAAACCCTAATTATATTGCACATAAGAGAGAGGAAAAGTTTTGATTATATATATATATACCATTCAGCTCTTGGATTTAAATTTGATGATCTTGATTTACAGGTACCACCCATGAAAAACACCACCAATAGATTCGTCGTGGAGGCTGGACCACCTCATGCATCCTCAGCCAAAAATGAAGAGGTTTGCTTAATCTTTGAAGGAATTGCATATTAGATACTTGCTATGTTGGAAGCTAAGTCACTTCTTTTTGCTAAAAAAATGGATAAAATTGGTTACTTACTTTAAATGTTGATGTGAATGGCTGATTGATATAGGTTGATGGTGAACTTGAATCTGCGAGAGTAGAAATGGGTGAGGTGAGAGAAGAAAACCAAAGGCTAAAGATGTGTTTGGACCGAATCATGAAGGAATATCAGGCCCTGCAAATGCAATTTCATGTTATGGCTCAACAAGAGGCAACGAAATCTTCTGATCCAAAAGCAAATGTTGATGACGAGCAAGAGCCAGCTGAGGAATCGGATCTGGTTTCCCTCAGTCTCGGAAGAGTTCCGGTTGCCACCATCAGTAAACCAAAATCTGACGAGCAAACTAAAGTCATCAGCAGCAGCTCCAAACCATCATTACATTTACGACGAGAGGAAGAAGAAGAGGGATTCAAACAAGACTTGGCTCTTGGACTGGACTGCAAATTTGAAACATCAAAATCTGGAAGCACCACTGAAGCTTTGCCAAATCCAAGCCCCACCAATAGTTCTGAATTGGTTCCCAAGGAAGAAGCTGGGGAGAGCTGGCCACCAAGTAAGGCACTTAAAACTGCCAGAGATTCCACAGATCAAGATGAAGTTTCCCAACAAAATCCAGCTAAGAAGACCAGAGTTTGCGTGAGAGCAAGATGTGACACCCCAACTGTAAGTATCTGATCATCCCATAAAGTACACGTTTCCCGTGAATATACATGCGTTCAAATTTATCGTCATTGTTTCTATTTAGACATGCCAAATTAAACATGTGTGTCTATTCATGCATAGCTTTAACATATACATGGAATTTAAAATTGAAAAGACTATTATATTCATACTCGAGCTTTTTCAAACAGTTGAATGATGGATGCCAATGGAGGAAATATGGGCAAAAGATATCCAAGGGAAATCCTTGTCCGAGAGCTTATTATCGTTGCACAGTTGCACCAAATTGCCCAGTAAGAAAGCAGGTGTGTATATATTCCTTTCCTTATTAGGAAATACAAAAAAAAAATTATTAAATTGAATGCACTAACGCTGTGTCTGTGTGTGTAACTAATCATCAGGTGCAAAGATGTGCAGAGGACATGTCAGTTCTGATCACTACTTATGAAGGAAACCACAACCACCCTCTTCCTCTCTCTGCTACCGCTATGGCTTCCACCACTTCTGCAGCTGCTTCCATGCTCTTGTCTGGTTCGTCTTCAACCTCTAATCTCCCTGGTTCAGTGCCGTCATCAACAACTGCCGCCATTGGCTCTGATCTCCACGGCATCAACTTCTACCTCTCTGATGGCTCCAAACCAAAGCAATTCTACCTCACCAATCCTGCACTGTCACCTTCACCCTCACACCCAACAATTACCCTCGACCTCACTTCCAACCCATCCTCTTCTAATTATTTCTCTTCACACTTCAATAGATTCAACTCAAGCTACAATAACCCCACTAGATTCCCTTCTTCAGCCAGCCTCAGCTTCAGTTCCTCAGAATCCAACTCAAAGTCCTGGAGTAACAATGTGGGGTTCTTTGGCTACAGCTACAACACTCAACCATATAATAATAACAGGAACATCCTTAGCAGCATCAACCTCGGAAGACAACTACTGATTCAAACTCCTCCCCCTCCCGCTCCCGCTCCCGCTCCCGCTCCCGCTCCCCCTCCTCAAGTACAAAATCCTTCGCTGCCAGACACCATAGCTGCAGCAACTAAAGTGATAACAGCTGATCCAGCTTTTCATTCAGCTTTGGCCGCTGCGCTTTCTTCCATCATCGGCACAGGAAATAATGGTAGTGTGAGTGAAAGTAGCACACAAGGTGTTGGAGAAATCAATCCCGGTCAGAAAATTAACCTATGGGGAGATATTTTTGCAGCTTCTGCAGCTGGATCAACCTCCAAAATTAGTGGATGTGCTTCTAGCTTCTTGAGTAAAACGACGCCGGCTGGTACACAATCAGGAAGTAGTGGTTTGATGTTTCTACCTCCATCCTTGCCATTTTCTAGCTCCAAGACCGCGTCTACGTTATCACCGACTGATAATAGAGACAGGTCCAACAATTCTTGACGGGAATTTTCTCTTCGTGTCATGATTTTTTCCCCCTTGTACGTAAGATAGAAGAAGAATCTTGAGCACGCGCACACATGAATAATGTTATGTATTTGTACATCGAGTCTTGATTTTGTTGATTTAATTAGGAAAGGCGTAGATGATGAAGATTTCTGTATGAATGGTAGTACTCACAGACCCATTATTATACAAACAGAGAAAGGGTACCTCCATTCATTCGGAAAATTTTCTATATATTTGTTTTCTAGAAAGACGTAGGGAGGGGGTCTCTCCTTTTCCTTCATTTCATTTTTCTCCACTTCTCAAATCTTTATCATTCATTATCATTTTATTAAATAATTTTTTGATTTATAGAATAAATGAAGAGTAAATATTGGAAAAGTGGAGAAAAAATAAGATAAAGAAAAGGAGAGACTCCTCTCCCAAGAACGCGTGGATTGTTTTTCCTTTTTTTTTTTAATTGATGAAAGTTATTGTACATAATGGACATCAAATAAATGTACAGAATGTGATGTGTACTTTTGTATAAGTGTCTGGGTGAAGTTGAGTAATTTTTCTGGTCAAAACTGACGTTGATAGCATTGAGAAGATGTGCCAGCACTCATCAATTCATATTGATCACGTTATTAATTATTAATATGGTAAATAATAATAGCACTTTTGCCATCAATGTATAGGGACATTTTGAGTAACATCATATCCTTTGATGAAAAGATGTTCTCTTTGGCTGCATTCTCATATATAAATTTTGTTATTTGTGAATTAGAATAAAGGACATGTCACCTTGGATCAAAAACAAAAAACAGGATAGATGTCACCAATGAAGATTAACGCGTGTTTGGATTAAATAGGTCCTTTGTTATTCCCACTGTAGTTTAATTTCTCAGGGTTCTACTCACAATTTATGATCAGCAGCTAAGCAGCTTATGCCCCGATCGATTGAACTGATAATGACATAACCGCGAACAAGAAGATATTAGATTTAGAAACATAGTGTGATCTTAAATAATTATAATAAATTACAGCCTCAATAATCTGCATAGGGACGTAGCTCAAATGATAGAGTGCCCACTTTGCATGCAGGAGGTAGGATCCCCTACATCTCCACTTTACTTTTTAAAATTTCATGCATTCGGCTATTATCTATCAGCGTCAATTGCATCTAGATGAGGGGTAATCATCAGTTAATTCAGTGCCAAAATATATAAAATTGACCGGCCTTACAACACTAAAAATATAAATCAAATCGAATTGAATAAGGATCAAAAATTCAGTTCAATTGATTAATTTGGTTTTAGACTTTTTTGCAAATATAATCCATATTAGATGATTAAATCAAACAAATAACCTAATATTTATTATATTTTACATTATGGTTAATTTATTATATTTGTAAATGGTATACTGTTGTATATTAATAATAAACCCTTTATAAATTTTCATATTTTCAATAATAAACTCATGTATATTAATGTAAACTGATCATATTTTTAAATTTTTAAAAATTTGGTCTATATTTTTTGAGTACAATTTTTTTTTTACTAGTGGGCCAATTTATCCTAAAATAAAATAAAGTAATTAACAAATTAAATATAATTTATAAATCAATAAATTATATGTATGTAATAATTCAGTTGGTTCGATTTATTTAATTTCAAACCTTACAAATTAAATTAAATCAATCAACTAAAATATTTTTTTAAAAAAATTGAATTGAACCAAAAAAATAGAATAGACTGAATTAAATGATAAAAAATTGATTTTTTTTTTTGTTTCAATTTGATTTTGCCCACCCCTACTCTCGACCTTGAGACCTGTGTAGGATATGTTTTCTTCGCGATTGATCTTTCTTCTTTTCATATTACACAGAAGCTAGTTGATGGATATCTTGTTAAGACAATTCGGAATTCGCCAATGACTAGTCACTTGAAGGGTTTGTCAGAATCTATCAATGCAATCAAAATTTTTCTTTTTACGTTTTATAACCTTTGCTTGTTGTTGATACAAAATAGTGACATTTTTAGGATAAATATGTTGTTTTATTCTTTATTTTTATATTTCTTATAATTATTCTTGCACTTTTGTGTATGTTTTATATTATTCTTTTATTATATGGGTATTCTTTAATGTCCATGATAATTAATAATAATGTATTTGTGTAATGAACCTATAATAATGGATAATTAGTTGTTTATTTTATATTTGATTTGCGATCTTAAATAAATCTTTACTGATTTAGATATCGCAGCAAACTATATTGAAGAGTTAACATAACAAATGGTCTAGCTAATTAACGCAGGCATAAAAGATAAATAAGAAACAATTTTACCAATTAAAACAAATATTTTCCTCTTAGATAGAAGGGTAATGATAATTTCACTATCACATTGAGGAGTGACTTGATAACCTCATCCAGAGCAAGCAATCGTTTTAATCATGTCTCAATCCAACTCCAAATCATTAGACAGTATGAATTAACATTAAGAACTTTAAACCACTAACCCCAAAAGAAAAACGAAAAAGAAAACACAAGTACATAATGAATGTAGGCTGTAAAAACAGGGCAGGGCTTCCAAGGAGTTTAGAGAACTTTTCTAAACTCCAAGAAATATTTGTCGTGAAAGTCCTTAAAATTGAGGACTATAATTTATTTCTAAAACTTATTAATTCAATCAAGCCTTTCCCTGGTAGCCCCATGGATTGTTTTTGGCCCAGTTCCATTGATCCCTGCACATCTCCTCTACACCATACTTGGCCCTGCAAATGAAGAATCACATGTTATCATAAGTAAGTTAAAAACACGAGTAATGCAAAAATAAACGATAGCATCAAGCACAATATGTGAAAGCATTGTATGCTCATATCCTTACTTCCAGCCAAGTTCTTTCTCAGCCTTCTCTGTGGATGCATAAACCGCAGTAGCGTCTCCAGGCCTCCTTGGACACAATTTCACTGGAATGTTCTATAGAACAAAGTGCCAAAGATAATATGAACTTTTAGGATTGATAATATATTTGACATATAAACATAGTCTGAGGAAGATTTATAAATACCTTGCCAGAAGCTTTTTCGAAAGCAGCAACCATTTCCAGTACTGACGTGCCTTGACCAGTTCCCAAGTTATAAGCAGTACAACCTAAGCAATGAGTTGGCTAATTAACTTGAAGTAAACAAAGATTTGACAGTTGGTAATCTTGTTGCGGTATGAGAAAACAATAAGCAATGTTACATATATATGATGAAAAAGAAGATATTTTACCAATGTCCTCAGTAATGAGAAGCTTTCGTAAAGCAGCAATGTGACCATCTGCCAAATCCATTACATGGATGTAATCTCGAACCTAATTTAAGTACCCAACAGAAATGACGGTTAAAATGCAGAGAGGGAAAACATGCATTTGTGTCCACGCGCACATTTTATTGTGATTTTTTGAACTTTATGATTCAACTAATGAATATCTCCAGTTGATTCAGTCTCATGCAAAAAAGAAATTTAGTGCATGTGGAGTTAACGAACCGCTGATCCATCCTTTGTGGGATAATCATGGCCATAAACATTAAGTTCAGGTAATCTCCCCACAGCTACTTGCTGAATGTAAGGCATGAGATTATTTGGTATGCCTCTAGGATCTTCACCAAGTTTACCACTTTCATGTGCCCCTACAGGATTGAAATATCTGAGCAAAATAATCCTCCATTCTGGTTCAGCCTTTTGAATATCTCGAGCAATTTCTTCAAGAAAAAGCTGTCATGTGTATTGTTAGAGAGGAAATAAAGCCAAACTTCTAGATATCAGAAATAGGCATTCCTATTGGAGAGTGTTGATTACCTTAGTCCGTCCATAAGGATTCATTGCTTGTAAACTGAAATCCTCAACACATGGTATATTTTCAGGTTGGCCATAAACCGTTGCAGATGATGAAAAGACCATCTATTGTAGCCATTGATTCAAAGTGTTAATTTCATAATTAAGCATGAATTTGTAAGAAGAAATGGATCCCATTCTACAAGCATGAAGACATTCAATTTTGTAAATTAAGAAGTAGATGCCCACAAGGGAGACCTCTTCAACTGAGTAGATGACAATAACCACAACATGTGATCGTATATGATAAAAGAGTGTGTTTGTTTTCATGTTGAAAACCACAAAATCACAGTGGAGGCGTGAAATTGGAATTTCGTTACAAGTATTTGAACTTGAAGCATATTGTCACTACATCACGGAGACTTGAGATTTCAAGAATAGACCATAAATTTTTTCAAGCAATGGAATCATGGGCTAACCTTTTTGCAGTTATATTTTGCCATAACTTCATAGAGATTGATGGTGCCAATTAAATTAAAATCAAAATACCGGCGGGGGTTAGCAACGCTTTCACCAACAGCTTTTAGACCCGCGAAGTGAATCACAGCGTCAAATCTGTTTCATCGTGATTCCCAATAAAAGAAAACATCTCTTAGCAACTACACTGCTTGCGTTAATTCAAAATTAAGAAAAAAACAGAGCTTTAGAAAACGGGAAGAGTATGACACAGTATGTTTCATAGAGTTGATGCATTAGCATAAAACTTCGAGTAAAAACGAATGAAAAAATAATAGAAGAGAGACTGGGATTAGTTCGTCCTCATACTTGGTTTTAGAGAACAGATTCTCCAAGTCGTCCTTCTTTCTGAGATCACCCTGAAACCAAGCCAGAGCAAGAGAATCAAATTACTGAAAGAACCGTTTCACTGTGAAACAAGTATTTGTAACTCGGAATCAAAGAATAAAACTGCTCATACCTTGGTAAATTCCAGTCTTTTAGAAAGTTGAGGCCCTACAACTTCCCGAACTCGATCCACGGCTTCTATGACGGAATTGTCCAAATTATCGATGATCGAAACCTTGAATCCACTTTTGAGGAGCTGAACGACGGTGTGAGTGCCGATAAAGCCAGCACCGCCGGTCACCAGAATGGTTTGATCGGAGCTCACCATTTTTTTTTCCTTCCGGATATCAAATCAAAGATGACGAGATAGCAAGAACAGAGGGGCAGCTTGAAAAGACAGAGAGAGCAGAGAGAATTTAAAGAGTAATTGGAGAAAATCAGGAGCGGTTAAACGAAAGATTTTCTGGATATGAAGTGGGATTTAATGTTTATCTAAATTTGATTGATTCTATTTAGTTCAAATCTTTGTTGATCTTCTATATTAGGGGCTCTGGTTTTGGAAAGATGGATATCACAGTTTGGCGCGCTGATTCTGAGGTGTGCGCGTGGCGGGATCCGGCAATCGGGTAGAAGATTGGTTTACCACGTCACATATTATTCAATCAGGGACTCTGTTAATCAGTTTTTTCTAGTGTTGGGAGCTGAGTTGTCCTAATTTTATCCACAACTTTTTGTTATCTATTTTGCTAAATAAAAATAAACGGTTGTACCTAAGATGATTAATTTCGCACGATTACTTAACATATGAGTATCATATTGCTTTGCCATAAAAATAATAGATTATGTATTTAACTCTATTACGCTTATCCCATTCTCTGTTTTTTCCGTTTGTTTTAATCCTGTTATCCTTTTCCCATATCTTTACTATCTGGGTTCCCATTTTGTTATTTTGGACTATTTGTTAGCATTTGTTAGTTTTTTTCCAATGGGATTCAAATTCCATCGATAGTCTGTAACTAACTAACAATTTTAACTATTTTTTTTTTAAACTTGAACTACACGAGACGTGCACGTGTATTAGATGGAGATTTTTTTATTTTTTGGGCAACGATGTACTAGGCAGAGTTTAAGAAATAATTTTCTCTTGAATTTTGGTTAAATTTAGATTTGTTTGATTGATAATAATTTATGCAATTTTTTTTATATTCTGTATAATTGCGTAATATATAACAACAAAAGATTGATACATATAATATAATTGCTCACACCGCATTTATAATTTCTTCAAGATATAAGCTTGGAGACCTTGAAATAATTGAAGTTATTCGTGGAAATGTTAGAAAGTGGAGGACCATGCCGTTAAGTTTGCTCAATAGACTAATTGTCACTTGCCTTCTATTCCTTTGCCCAGATTCTTTCGTCATTCTTTCTACATACTATTCACGGTCTAGCTTTCCACTATTCTTTCCGGAGCCCATGCTGAAAACTGACCATGGATCCTAAGTTTCTTATATTTTCCACTTTTGTATTTAACTTTTTAGTTTATACTTTGCCTTCTGGTTTTTTTCATTGCTTTATTTCTAAAGCTCATGAGCATTGTTGTTCAAGTCCTGAATTAGGCCAGATTTGATAGAGTAGAATCCTAAACCTGAAAAAAAGAATTGGTGTAAGAATTTTAATAAAGTGATGTTTGGTATATATTAATATGAATTCACAAAGAATATTAATTATGAAAAAAAAGAGACTGAAATGAATTATTTGAGTAGAGGCATGTGATCTTCACCAATTCCACACAATTGTGTTTTCCAAAACAATTTTGTCCTCGTAAAGGCAAATTTACCCTAAGTCAGGCAAGAGGTAAGATATTTTCACGAATATATATAATATTTATTTTATAAAATATTTCACTTCTGTATAATGTTTATCATCCATTTAATATTTTGTTTATATACCAAATAAGTGAGAAAATTAAAATACAATTAAGCTTTTAATACATTTTTATTTTAACTTTAATTTTTATGGGTGTTTTTGTCTTTTAAGTATAATTCTATTTTCATATTTCACATATCAAACAAAAATCATATAAGGATTTTATGAAAAAATACTTAGATAGACCAGCTATACAATATCATTTGTCGTTTGTCCAGTTAAAATGCTTCAAATAGTTTAAATAAAATTTTGTATGATATTTTTAATTAATTTTATTCTTATAATAGTATTCACATTAGATTTTTTCACCTTTTTATCTCTCCACTATTATTAATATCATAATCAATTTATATTTAATGATATCTAAATGTCATATTTTTATTAACCATAAATGATACAGTACACTCAATTTACCTAATAATTTGTTAGATTCCATATATTCATTCAAACATGCTAAATATATTTCTAAAATCAAATTATATCTTGATTTCAATTCCAATTTTAGTTTTGATTATGATTATTCTATCAAAAATTATTTAATCATATCCAATTCTAATGTTTACATATACGTGTTTCTTATACCTTTTACCCCCGGGTTCAACTTCTCAGCATATTTTCTCTTTCATTAATACAATATTCATGTATTAAACTATTCAATTATATGTATGTCATGCTATTATTATCAAAATCAATCTTTTTTTACTAAGAAGGGTCAGTTTCTGTCCGGCTTAATTAAGTATTCACATCATAATGAATTGAGATATTTCCGTGCTAGTAAAAACTCTAAAAAATGATATTTTTCAAAGATATATATATATATATATATATTTTACTCCTACTTTAAATTACGTGCTACAGCTGCATTTGAGAAATTATGACAACAGACGTCAAATACTCTCCTCTTTTTGTCCAGACGCTGCATTTCAAAGATATTTTTCTCGTTTTGAGAAATCTTCCAATGCCCACTAGCATGCCCGTATCACGGGATCGCGTCAGATAAATAGCCAATGATGACATGACATAGAGCAAAATTTATAAATAAAATACCTTTTTCATCCCCTGGCACCACTCAGATCAGCTTTAAAACTCGTATGCTCCAAGCTCCATGTCCCCAATCTATCTATGGATATTTTGATATAAAATTTATTTGGAAAAAATAGCACTATTCCCAAATCCTAATCAGTCGCACAATTCAGGTTATATTAAGTATTAACCGCTGTTTTTCTATGTAATTAATGGTGGTATGAAAGTAATGAAGAACTGAAGATACATATCTAACCACGTCACATCAAACTTTACCGGAGGTCCGAACCCTTGTTCCTGTGCAACGAATCAAACAAAACGAGTGATTACTTTCTCACAGTCCTCCCGTAATGCTTTCTATCTCGCAGGAGCCCCGATCTGGATGATCGTACTATTCATACCTGACAGAGTAAGCACGCCTGCAGTTATCAACTTCCGTCTGCGACCATAGCTTTTAAAATATTCGGACCTTCTTTTGGTGCGGGTGAGGCGACTTCTCCTTAAAATTTTGTTCGATGAATTAATCGCCTTTTTTTTCTTTCGTGTCCCTCTCTTCCTGTTCGAGTTTACATGGTTGCTTCCCTGGGAATTGTTTATGAAAGATTGACACCGATGATCAGGATCAAAGCCTCATTTTTATAATTTTTCATGGTCTTGTTGAATGAATGTTTTCCATGTTTCTGAAAGTTTAGGGTTTTTAGCTCGCTATAATATGAAGCTATAACATGGGGTTTTTGGGCGATTCATGTTGCAATCTCCGCGTAAAGTTGCAACCGGGTAAAAAAGAGGAATTTTTTAGGGATTGAATTTCCGAAATATTGCTTACAACAAACACCTTAGGTTGCTAAATATCATTGTTTTTTCTTCGGCCTGTCTTTACCTTGTGTGTAGTCTATGTAGCAGATGCGTGTCATTTTTCGATTTTCTACGTTTACATCTCGGCTGAATTTTGGTTCTTTGCCATTGCAAATTGTGAAGCTATCAAATCACAATTAAATGATATTGGTGTGCTCCATTTAATTACAGACACAGTAAAGTAACGGTGATGTTCAAGCCTGCTTTTTAATGTATCGAAGTGTTTATTGCCTTTTTGGCTGTTGGTCTTTTTAGGTTGTGACAATGTCGACCCCTGCTAGGAAGAGGCTGATGAGAGATTTTAAGAGGTTGCAGCAAGATCCACCTGCAGGAATCAGTGGCGCCCCTCAGGACAACAATATAATGCTCTGGAATGCTGTCATATTTGGGTGAGTTGTAGTGAAATTGGACCAAAGATCCATCATTGTTTTTACCTGTATTATATCACTTAGTTTTATTTCTCACCTTTCAAGTAATAATCAATAAGTAATTTCATCTTTCTTGTCGACTTTGGATTGCAGTCCCGATGATACTCCATGGGATGGAGGTGAGTTAATCTTTGCGTTTTATCTCGTCTCTGAAAATAGTTGAGGCTCAACAATGGGATTTGTAATTTGGGAACTTTGCGATCTACTTTAATTTATTGATTATTGATTAATGTTTCTTTTGGGTTTGTGGTGCTTAGCCTGCGTTTTACATGGAGTCAGTGTCCTGTTGCTATTAGTGCTGTAGCTCTAATGTTTTCGAAGAGATTTTGAGAATCTTGATGGGTTTCTGCAGTATCATCATGAAATTAAAGAATCTTTTTTTTTTCCCCCTAGAACAAGTATTTAGGTTCGGCAATGCAGCTTGACTAAATTTAGTGGATGTCTTTTTAAATTTTTGTCACGGTTTTAACTTCACTATACTGTGTTGTTTAGTTGATAGTTTGCTTGCATGTGCCTGTTGGAGGTTGTGGACACTTGATTTCATATTTATGATCTGTTGATATCTTTTATAATACTAATTATACTCATACAACTGCAAAACTTGAGTTATTCAGGAACGTTTAAGTTGACGCTCCAATTTACAGAAGATTATCCAAACAAACCACCAACTGTACGATTTGTCTCTCGAATGTTTCATCCAAATAGTAAGTTTTAACTTGAATTTTTTTTAACTATTCATAAATTCCCCTTGAAGTACTGATGCCTTTGTTTTTTTTAAAAAAAAAAATTGACCTTTTCAGTTTATGCGGATGGGAGTATTTGCTTGGATATATTACAAAATCAGTGGAGCCCTATATATGATGTAGCTGCTATACTCACATCTATCCAGGTGTCGTCTAGTAATCTGTACCTGCTTGTATGAAACATCTGTTTTTTTGGTTTATTTTGCGAAAGAAGTGGGAACATGTTTTGGGATACCTTCAAACTTGGGATTAGGTTAGATAACAGGAAGTTGGCCTTTTTGTTTGACGAATCACCGTTGATTAAATATATGAAGTTGATTTTATTTATTTTACATGTGGCCACGCCCCCTCTTACGTTTTTTTTGGTTGCGGGTGGGGGGGGGGGTTTCAGGCAAAGAGCCTAGAAACACTTGTGAAAGTGAACAGGAATTTATCCCTTTCAAAATTGATCATGTCACTCTTGCTAGGCTTTCTAATTCAAGAAGCTCCTCCTTCTGCACCTTTAATTCCCCCTCTCCTTGCTGTTTGAGGTTATGGGAGAAGGACGGAGAGGGCATTGACCCCTAGCTTGTATCAACTTTAGTTACTGTATTGGTCTTGTTTCCACTTAAATGCGGACACCTTTTCATTTGCCAAATTGAGTTTTCTGTTGGACTAGTATGTTTTAAATTGTAATTGTTTGTGCTATGCTGCTATAAGTAGTCAATACTCGCCATTTTATAATTATTTTCTGAAAGATGATCATCATTTTTGGCAGTCACTGCTTTGTGATCCCAACCCAAATTCTCCTGCAAACTCAGAAGCAGCTCGAATGTTCAGTGAGAACAAGCGTGAGTACAACCGAAGAGTGAGGGAAATTGTGGAGCAGAGCTGGACAGCTGACTGACAGACTAAGCCCCAATCCACGTACACTTGTGGGCATTCTTCCTGTCTGAAGCTATTGATGAATTATTAAGTTATGCTGCGACCGTTATGAATCATTGTGCAAACTTATCAACTTATTTGCTTTATTCATCACTGTTGTGCATCTTAGGATCATTTCATCTTTTAATTGATTGCAGTTTTTGCATTGTTCATGTCAGATTATGTAAAATAGATGTTCTGTGTATCAATTTGCATTGAATTGTTGTCAACGTGGCTGAATACAAAGTTTCAGTTTGATGAATTGGTTATGACGACGAAAGGTTAAATTTAGTATTAGCTTCGTTAAGATTCATAGCTTGTCGTTTCGCTAATGTGGTTATGTTTTAGGCATCCACTAATTTTTTTTCGGACAGCCGTATTAGCAGACTTGTTATTTACTTATTTTTGGTGATGTATAGTATGGCAGATTTATTTTCCCCAGTACTCACTGATATCTTGTTTTTGGCCAAACAATACTCCCTGATACAAAAACAGTTCCCTAACGTTTTCGTTGCTTATTTTATTCGTAACCTGTGTATATTATACTTTTTTTAATTTTTTTAATTTATCTTTGCGTTAAGGCGAATGTGCGTTGTCTGACGGGGTAATCATGGCACGAAACAGTTCAGATGAATCGTTTCACAACGTGGACCACAAAATCTTTCCTTTGTAAGTCATTGATAAATCTTCAGATAAGTTTGCATGTGTGAAAATTGTTCATCACGGGAACCCCCGAAAAAAAAAAAAAGGGTGTGTTTTGAGGTTTAAGGCTTAGCCAGAAGTCTTGCTTGGTAGTGTGATTTATATTTGTTTTCATTATCGTTTCTCTCTCTGTCTTGGCCAGGGTTACAAGTCAACAACTTGAGTACGTCCGCTAAAATAAACAGAGTTAACTAATTAGATCTTAAAATTTGCTATAATCCAGATCAGTGAGGGATTTGCTGGTTTCTTGACTCAGGTTGTATACATATATCAAGAGATTAAAGGATAAATTCAACGAAAGATGAGGATTTATTAAAAGGGGTGGTGGGAGACTGGACTTTAAAATATGCTGTGATTTTGTTTAACTGTGTAAAAAGTAAAAACAAATTAAACAACCCTTGAAATTCAGTACAGTTTAAATTTGATCTGCATGTGTATTGTAGACAACAAACACAGGCGAAGTCCAACGACCAAACATGATTGAAAAACTGTCTTCAGACGCCAGACCATGAGAAACAATCTTCACCAGGACTATACAACTAAAGCAAGCTCCACACGAGAACAAACTAGTTTCGAAACTGACACAATTGAAAGGTGCAAGCACGAGCTTATTAAACCCTCTCTTCAGTGAGAGAAGCATCCTATAAAAGAGAAGAAAAAAGATTAGCTTCGCATATATCTTTCTACAGCAATATCCAAAAAATCTGAAGTACTATGTGCCAAGCTTCTCAGCCTCACCATATTTTCTTTGTTTCCCATATTTGTCACTTCAGGAAGTGCATGGCTGACAGAGGCTGAGTTGAAAAAAAACAAAAACCATAGAAGCATGAGACTAGCTGAGCTAAAAATGGTTCATAAACTGTCTTAGAAGAGATTGCAAACTTACTCTGCTCAACTTCGCTTTTCTTTCCCTGCTTCATGTCCTCGCCTTTTTCTTTACTAGCTTCTTTCTTGCTCGGCTTCTCAGATTTTTTCAATGATCTGCGGCTACAGTTTTCTAAAGCGGGCATTGAATTTGAAGAATTCTTGCTGGCATCTACTCTCACCCTGGATCCGGCATTATTCTTCTGTACGGTCACCTTCTTGGTTGACTCTCTTGCAGGGGGAGAAACTTGAGTAGAATCAATGTTTAAACACTTGGGTTTGAGTTTCCCAGTACCCATGGTAGAAGAGGAGCTGTGTACATCATCATCAGAGGATCGAGTCCCCTCTTCTGGCACCTGCGAAATAGTTTCAGGTACCTGCGACTGCTCAGTATTATCTTCTGTGATATTATAGCTTTGGAACAGCTCTTTCACAGGGTCTCCAAGATCAGTAAGATTGTGTCGGCGCACATATGACTTCAGCTCATCTTGCATTTTCTTGAGAGGCTGTGATGGATGTATAAAATTACTTCAGGCAAAGATGGGTCAACTGATAGACGAACGTATCAGGACAGAATACGGAAATCAGTTGTAAGTGGAATTACTCATTTAAATGAAAGATGAGGCTTGAAATGTTCAGAAGGCGCGTGAATTGGATCAAAATAATAATAATAATAATGTATATGCTTCTATGTTTGTGTCTAATCATATTTAGACGCATGTCGTTACCTCGCATCCTGCCTCCGACGCTAGTTTGAAAAAGCCAAGTGAAATTGAGTGCTTGGCAGAAGATTCTGATACTTTGATGTGGGATAACCAATATGAAGATTTAGACAACATATTGAACTTCGTTCGACTCGAAGGTCTGGATATGTAAGAAATGGGTGTTTCGATTCTGCCTTGACCATTAGCAGACCTCCTGGTTCTGGTCTCTGAGATTGGTGTAATGTTGCCAGACAGCTTTGGTCCTGGAGTGGCAGCAGCTTTGGCAGGAATAGAGAACCTCCTTAGTGGTTTAGCAGCAGCAGACTTATCCTTGCCAGAGAGATCAAGAACTCCCACGCTTTTACTTACACTTGAAGCAGCAGGTCTCACCCTAGAAAAAAGAATGAGATGCATCAAAGGATGATAATCAAGGGGGGTGACTCTCTAGAAGGGTGTAACTTCACAACATAACATATCTTAGTATTCTTCAATTACGCCAACTTCCCATCTACAGCGACTCATATTCGTGCAATGAAGATTTCGTAATTAATAATGGGATTAAACCGACTTGGTCTTCCGTAAATTCCAAAGATCAGAGTACAATTAGACCATCATCGTCTTATATTAATGGCTAGATTTTTTTTTTTTTTTATCTCCATCCAAAACCGAAATGTAATTGCATAGTTCTTCTGTCCCGGCTGTTTTTTTTTTTTTTTTCCTGGCAAAGGAAAACACTTGGACCTAGTAATAATTATCTGAAATGAAATTGGAAACAGGGCCCATGGATGGGGTTCCAGTCAATAGTAATCATTTGAATAAAATATCAAGTTACTGTTGATATGGAAATTCGGAATTAGTTATGATTTTTCAGCATCAACTCCAAACATCTAAAAACAACGAACACATCCTTTCAAAACCATAGAAGAAAAGGCCAGAAAAGAAGGAAGATACAGGTGCATGGAAAAACCTCTTTGAAGCAGAAGAATTGGATAAATCGGAAGCATCAGGTTTCTGTTCCTTGACTTTAGACGCCGAACGCAGCGCGTACTTTTGAAGCCTGGGTCTTCCGGAGTTCCCTGAATCACGACCCAATTAGAGCCAGAATTAGAATATACCATACATGGAAACGCTAAAAAGTTAAAAAGACTTTGGCCAGAACTATACCAGTAACATCAGCGGCTTGCTGTTGCGCAACGGGTTCCTCCATTAACCTCACTCGCAGTGTAACACAGAGATTTGAGAATGAAGACTGAAGAGGCTCAATTCCGAAGATTTCCTTGTGTACTGAATTCAAAATTGTGATCTGCAGGTTTATAAAGTTGTTTTCTTTCGACCAAGGACCCTCATGAGCGGGAAAACAAGGTTGACGTGGACACTCTTTCTGCAATGCTGACAAATTTCCACAGCAAGACTTTTCCAACACGGTCAGTTTCATGTGAGATCGCTGATGTGGACACTCTGATTTACGTATTCGATTTTGAAGCGCGCCCCTACTACATGGGGGTCGAGAATCAAGGGCTGTGATTCGTGAACAGAATTTGGAGCCATAAGTAACGTGTGGCCGTTAAATTGGAAAGGAAGACAAAAAATAACTGATAGTGACAGACAAGCATCCAAAAAGAAGGAATAAACGGTCCAATAGGCTGATAATGCTTAGTTGGAAGTTGGTACAAGAGTGGGACCAATGTAGGCTCCCTAATTTTCGAATTTCAAATTTCAGCAAGTTGGAGCCCTGCTCGACGGTTGCAAACTTGCAAAAACATGAGTATGGACTGTGGGCTTCAATGGACCACACTCAGGCCCACATGGTCCATGAACCCAGTCCAAACCGAGATATTGGGTAAAGTTTTATCCTTTCATACGTTAAAGAAGTTCTTAATTCAATTTTTTTAATATGATATTAATTAATAATGCATTATAAATTCATATTCAGTAAATCTAAAAAATTACTCGCTCCGGTTCCATTTTAGAAGGTCCATTTGATTTCATTTATAAGTTATGGTGCATCTTTTTAGATAATATTTGAGAGGTAATTATCCTTCATGAGAGAGAAAAGGTAACAGGACATTACTTTTTAAATGTGTTATATAGGGACATGTTTAAAATTTTATTTACTTTTATTTTTTATACTTTTATTATATTAATATTAATGAGATCAATAGAAATGAGTTATAAAAGTTCAAAAATTTTGAAAGGATTCGCCGCCAATCTACCGTCGAAATATTAATGAGGGTGATTACAGTACCCACCCGGCCCTCGTGACAGTTACAGATGGACATGGGTTGGGCGGTTTACACTTTACACCCTCCACGTCTCGGTTTATCTCCAGTGAGGCTTCCCATTCCACCACTTTCGTAATGATTAATGTGCTCTCGATCTTCACATATAGAGACTCTGCCGCACTCATCAACGGGTCAGATCTAACACGAAGCAACATCGCGCGTGAGATGTATATCAACACGCGAGGGCGTAAAAGTAATTTCGATTTGCTTCGGAATAAAGAAGCTGGAACACTTGGTTCCGAAGCAACAATTGCACTGGGATTCCCGACACGATCCTTTTTTAGTCGCAACTACTTTTTGAAGTGTAACCCGGTGTAGCATAAGCTCTCGTTCTGATCGTTCGATCAACAATTCAATCTTTGATTTCCATCAAGTCAATACATCGGACGGATCAAAGGAGAAGGGTCGCCTTGTTTTTCAATGAGAATTAACTACACGGAAGTCCATTTCCAACAAATTATCCAGGCTTTTCTGGTTCGGGCGTTGGTTTTCACTCCTCCATGCTCACAGTTCACAGAGGAGCAACAAACGAGCAACGCAAGCACAAAATTGATGGAGCTTTAGATCGCTTTCTTCCCTTCTGCAGCTTTGCTTTTCTTTTTTTACTTGGTTTTCAAGCTCTCTCTGTTTCATGGTATGCCACTTCCACTGTCATTTTCTCTGTTGTCTATTTCAGTGTAGATAGATTTCTCTGCTTATTCTTTGGGGGGGGGGGGTAACGGCTTCAAAGTGCTCATTTTCTAATCTCGTGGTTTGATTCTGGTTTCCAGTGATGGTAGATTTGAGGTGAAGAGGTTCCGCATTTGCCAGGTAAATGTCAGATCTAGCTCCAAACGAGCACGTGTGCTCTAATTTCGGACATTGAGTGACTTAATAGGGCTAACCGTCTCCCAGTTCTTATATGTGGCAGATCCTGTGGCTTTTAGCAAATTGCTACTTTGGCTTGAGGACATGCTTTAATTTACTTTGTTTTTCGTCCCACCTGTCCATTGGAAGTCCTGAGCTATGCTGTAGCTGCTTATATTATCCTGATGTGAACGTTAGACGTTGTACAGTACTTTCGGAGTTATTACTTCTTTCACTGGAACAATGACCTATGAATCTCTGATGTTAATTAAGTACGCAATGGTGCTTGTGTCATCTTGAATAATTCCGAGCTAATTGTTAAGGTTCCCAATAAACAAAAAATCATAGTACGATTTTCAGGAGATTAAACTTGATTTACCGACTTTGTTTTCGTACGATATCGTTGTCGGTGATAGCATATTTTCTTCCCAAAATATCTTACAGGTAATTGTTGAAGGGCATGACATGCCAATAACTGATGCATACGGATTGAAAGGATATGCCCGTTTGGTTTTTAGTGTTTCATCGGAGAAAAGCTGCAACGATTAGTATATTATGTCCTCTATAAGTTCCTTTATAATTGATTGGTTATTATTTCCCTTGACGCAGCTTCAACTTTTAACGCCTTTAGTAGTATATTGACTTGCCTTTTTAACCGCTGAGAATTTAGCTAATGGGCGTTTGTAGCCCTTGTTGATAGTTAGTAAAACTACGTTATTTTCCCTTTTTTGTCGCATATTCATTTAGCAACGCTAATTATACCATAAGAAATACTCTCCTAGCAGCTAAAAGGTGTTCCTTCTGCCCCAAGGGAATTTTTGTTTTTTGGGTCAATACCAATGGGAAAAAGTTACTGGACCATTATTTTCAGAAAAATTTGATTTCACGATATGTTATCAGGGCATATACATTGTTAATTAGAGACGACCATATTCATAAATGAATGTTTTTATTGTTTGTCGTCTTGTTTGTTTAGCAAGCACTTTGCACGACTTCAGAATCAAGTTTATTTAATTGCCTAATTTACTATCTACAGTTGGGAAAAATTAGTTAACCAGATCTTTTCGGAATTTGAATTCACTGTTTTCTGTCGCAGTTCCAGATCTCACAATGGGCAAGTCACCAGGAAAATGGATCAAAACTGTCCTATTTGGAAAAAAGTCATCCAAATCAAATATTCCCAAAGGAAGAGAGGTAACGCTGAATGTTGAGTTCAGCAATCTTGTTTCTAATGAGTTAATATGACTAGATGGCTGTACTATTTTGAAATATGTTGTCAGATTTAAAGGTGAAGTATTATTACTATGAGATTGAAGGCATAAAAGGAGAGGAGTACCTTTTGTTCTGTTCTCACTTTGTATGTCCTGAAACATCTCCTTCCTGAAAAATCTCGTTATTACTTTGGTGCTGTTGCCGTTAGATGAGATTCTGCATGTTACTCAGTGCTGGCCTAGTTAAGCATAGGTGCAGTATTCACAAACCATCAAGTAAAGTCATACGAACTGTAGCTAGGTCTGAAAGCTGTTAGCTGCTGTTATGATTTTGAAACTTTAAAGCATAACTGTTATATTTATTTTCTGTAGTGAGATTCCTGGCTTACTTTTAAAGTAATTTCATGCAGAAACTTGTTAACCAGAAGGAAGCATTGGTTGCTTCCAAGGCATCAGAAACTGGGGTGGCTTTAGAACCACCCCCCTTTACTGTTGCCAGAAATGAGGAAGAGTTGGAATTGGAGAATGAAGAAGCAGAAAATCTTTCTCCTGTGAATCAGGAAACGGATTTTGTGTCCCATGTTCATCAAGATGCACCACCTGATCTAGAGAAAATCAGGCAGGACGAAGCTGCAACAAAGGCACAGGCTGCTTTTAGGGGTTATTTGGTAAGGGTCTGACTGTTTTACTTGGTAATTTATTGATTCAAACCAAGTGTCTTTCTGCTGAAAGGGAAAAAAGACAGAAATAACTCAAATATATTTCTGTAATTCATCATGTCTTTTAGTGGACCAGAAAAAAAAAGTTTGAGTTGATCTAATGCTTTTGGATTGCATTCTTGATGTTCAACGTGGTATTTAACAACTATTTTACTTTATAGACTTAAATAGCATGGAGTATTCTTGCAGATATTCCTCCACTGCGCCCTCAATCCTCCTGGTTTTTTGGCGATCTGATATTATACTCTGATGTGATAAGATGTTGAAAATGGAGTTGTTAAATTTGGCAACTGCCTTCATCTTATTTTCAATTGATTTTCTGGCAGAGATCCACCCTGCCTTGCTTCCCTGATATGATGCCTTCTTGGGGGAAAACCATACATCATGAACTTATTTTGATCTTTCATAATTGTTGCTGAAAATTCATAAATAATTATCTTATTCAGTTGCCAATATGAATATATTGAACTTATTCTTGTGTAGTTTGCATTATATGAGTTGTTGTAACATTTGATTGCCTCAAGTAATGGAAGCTTCTGTTGTGAAGGCTCGCAGGGCATTCAAGGCCTTAAAAGGGATAATAAGATTGCAAGCACTTATTCGTGGGCACTTGGTTCGTAGACAAGCTGTTGCTACATTATGGTCTATGTATGGGATAGTTAAATTTCAGGCACTTGTTCGTGGAGGGAAGGTTAGACAGTCCCATACTGGCTATGAAATCCATGAGAAGTATAATATTTTGAAGCTTCAGGTATTGTTTTGAAAGAACTGAGTTCTCAGTTCATTTTCTAAGATGTATATTTTGCCTAAAAATTTAGGTATTGTGTACTAGTGTCAAATTCCTTGTACCATCATTACGTGTTAATGTCAATGTTAATGATATTTCCATCTGAATGCACTGGGTTTCAGGGTGGAAAGCATGCCAATCCAGTTGATATAGCCAGAGAGTTTGCGAAGTTATCAACAAATACTTACACCCGCAAGGTAATTTGGGCTGTATCTTGCAATTTATGAGATTATCATGTGCGGCTACTCATTTTAAATTCTGAATATATTTCATCCGAGAATGAACAGTAATACAATGATCAGCACTCTGAGCATGACATGAGGAGCGCTACTTCTTCCTGAATTGATCAGACTGCAACAAAGTTTAAAAATGGTTAATTTTTATTTTACTAAATAGATAGATGCTTTTTGCTAGTTGATATTGAAGACACAGCATGCATGTTTTTGCATGAGTTATCTTGTATATGACACCAATATGGGGTTTATGTGCAATATTGACATTTCCCACACTTCAGTTTACCATGGTTTAGTTTGGAAGCATTTGAGATTTCACCTATTCTGCTGGATCAATGATCTGAAGAACATTTCTATTTATTTCAAATTTGTTTTTTGATCTATCATGTGAAAATATCCATGTGAAATCTTTCTTTTTCTTGTTTCAGCTTCTTGCATCATCTGCTACGATAATGGCCTTGCGCCTGCAATATGTTCCTGGTGATCCAAATTCAGTGTTAAGTTGGTTGGAGCGCTGGTCCGCATCTCACTTTTGGATACCGATTCCCCAACCCAAGAAAATTCCAAACTCTAGGTCTCAGAGAAAGCAAGGTAATACTTCAACTGGAGAAGTCCAAATGAGCAAGTCAAGACGCACTAACCGGAAGCTTCCAACTGTAAATTCTGACTCAGTCCCAGTACAAGCAAATCCTGAATTTGAGAAACCGAAAAGAAACCTGAGGAAAATATCAAACCCAGCTGCAGATCCAGTGCAGGAAAATCCACAAAGTGAGCTTGAAAAGGTTAAGCGGAGCCTGAGAAAGGTACATAACCCTGTTGTTGAGAATACTAGTCTGCCGGAAGTTGAATCTGAGACCCCTAAACAGCATTCGGAGAAGGCAAACATTACCCCAGGTCATATTGTTTCAGAGCAAGAGGTTGTTAGCTCTAATGAAATATCTAGTGAAGAAGTAACATTGGCCGAGCCTATGCCCAACGTTCCTCATGTGGAAATTGTGGAAATTACTCCTAGACCTTTGGTTAGCAAGGAGGTGTCTGAAATGTCAGGCAGCTATCAAGTGGAATTGGATCCAAAGCCCTTGGTAGAGAATACAAGTAAAGATAAAAATACTCCTGGTGACGGAGCTTTAAATGAGTCAAGAGATCTACCAAAGAGTGGATGTAAAGATGAAAATTCTCCCCTAACAAATGGAGATCTGAATCATAAGGAAGATCCAACAGGCAATGAAAACCAGAAACCCTCCCGGCGAGCCTCAGTTCAAGGGAAACAGGAATGTGCAGAGAATGGTATACAGAGTAGTCCAACATTGCCAAGCTACATGGCTGCAACTGAATCAGCCAAGGCCAAGTTGAGGGCTCAAGGATCGCCAAGGCTTGGACAAGACGGTGGCGAGAGAAACAACTCTGCTCGGCGACATTCTTTGCCATCCTCAACTAACAGCAAAATTAGTTCACATTCACCAAGAACACAGAGACCAGTTCAACCAGGCAGCAAAGGGGGGCATAAATCTGTTGCATCTAGAGATGGAAACGGTAGGATATATTTCTTTCCATGTAGTGGTTTAAATTCTGACACCTTGGCCAACAAAACAACCGCCACATATGATAATTTCATTAAGAACCAGCATTACCTCTACTTCTAAAAATATAAATATAAAACTTCCTATGTTTTATAGCTGTTTCAGGAAGAGGGTTGTGTTAGGTCCTCGAGGCCTTGACAGTCAACTTAAATGTCAGTCTTGGTTCACCTTTATATTTTTTATCAGCACAGATGCGTTCTTAATTCCTGATCAGGCCAAACATGCATGAGAAGGTTTATAACCTCTGTGGGTATTAATTTCATCCCAAAAGCAGTTCCACCCCTTTCCTTTTTGTTTTTTTTTTTTTTTGTTTTTTACTGAGACAACTTGGCAGAAGTAAATTGATTTCCAACAAGGAGTCAGTTATATGCCGATGCTGGTGTATGACATTTTCTGTTGATTTGATAATTTTAAACAAGCCTGTTCATCTTGCAGGAAGAGTAATTCAAGCCGAGTGGAGGAGGTGATTTGAGAACTGAGTTTCAGGAGTTTAACATCAGGGGGCTGAAACTCATGCAGAGTTGAACTTACGTGTAATAACTTTGTTGAACTACTTAGGACTATCGTAAGAAGGGTGTGTTTGACCGGTTTCTTTTCTCTTTTGCTGCATTTTGGGCGTTGAGGGTGATTTGTACATTATAGGTTTTATGTTTTGCATGCTGCAACTATACCTAAACTTGAATTCTTGCTCTTTGCATGATTTCTGGGCTGTCCATATTGTAATTTTCTTCCAAGCTTGTATGGTGATTAACTTTCTACCTTTGTTTATGCTACTAAAGACCAATTGTTTGTGCATGAAAATAAGTTTGCTGATGGTATTGTGATACGGATGTGCTCTTTTCTTTTCCATTGGGCTGCTAGTAACATGGATATTTTTAAGATTTCTTCAAAATTACGTGTTTTGACTCAATGAGCCCTTCCTCTGTGGGGTATTGCACCCTATTTGGCATGTTGGAATGAATTTTTCTTTCTTTCTTTTTCAAATTAAGGGGGGCAAACTAAGCTTGATCACAAGAGTCAACAGTTCAGGGAGACGAGGCTCCTACCCTGTGAATACAAATTAACACAATATGGAGTAACATCAAATAGGAAATGTAAGAGGGGCTGGGATGAGCACTTCTAGCGATATCTTATAGTGTAGCCAATGTGGAACGAATGGCATGAATAGTTGGTCAAAGTGGGTGGTAAGGGTGGACCACCTCTGAATATGATAACACTTCGTCTGTGGCATGCTTTGTGACCAGCATGAATGGCGAGGAGTTCTGCTTCTGTGCAAGAGACATTACCCAAAGCTCGGTGGAAGCAGAGTCTCCAATTAAACCACCACACGCATGGTGGTGTTCTCTGACTGATGCATCGACATCCATCCTGTAGGATCCAGCTGGAGGGGGTGTCCAACGAGTCTCATCTCTAAGTTGAAAGATGTGGTTCTAGAAAGTGTTGACTTGCTGCATTTCCAAGCTTGTGAAGGCAAAGGCTAAAGATAACGTGCGAGCGAATCGGTAAGCCTTCGAAGACTGCTTTGCATCTTGATGTCCAGAGGAGCCAGCATATGGTGCTAAAGACCATGATCCAGGGCCAGCGAGAGAAACAGTTAATGTTCTTTCTAGCGTAGAGATTATTCTTGATCCAAACCTGTAAACCACCACAGAAAAAAGAAATATTAATGTTCGTACGAAACAGGAACGAATTTCGATAGGTTGGAAATAGAAATGGGAAAAGAACAGTTGTGCAGGGTTTTAATAGTATGTTTGGCAGGGAGCAATATTTGAATGGAATGCTTTCATTAACTTTTTTTTCATAATTACCTTGGAAAAAAAATTATTCCGTAGCTATTTGCTCATGGATATCCTTGGTACAAACCAAAGTAAAGGTTTTTTTTTACATGTAGAAACAAAATAAATGGAGTGGGGATTTTCGTTCCATTTTTATTGAATTTGTCACGGATAACAAAAATAATAAATGTATATTTTTGCAAAAGTAAAAACGAAAACGAAAATTAAAATTAAGATAACAAACGTGTGTGTTTGAATCAACGAGTCAAATTAGTTGACAATTCTTTAAAAAGTAAAATAAAAGGAAGTTTATCTTGATAATTATTTAAATTTGAAAAAAAAATCCTAATTAAATCTCTAGATGGTATTTTAAAGTATCGGTGTAGATTTAGAATGTTCTTATTCTTTTGCCTTCAACTCAACTTTTTTTCATTTTCATTTAATAGATCTTTGAAATATGCATCGAAATGAGTAGTCATATGCCCAAAATGATCTAGTGACTAAAAATATCCGAAGTGCTACAATTTTAAATTTTTCCATCATATAATAAGAAACCGCTCTATTTAAAAGTAATGAATAATATGGCTAACCTTGAATTTACGTGCAAAGCATAAACTCAATCTAATTATGACCCTATTTTTTATTGGATCAAAAATAACTTGCCAAGATTTATATTAAACTGAGCTGAAACCAACCTAACCCAGTACATTCATAAATATGAAATGAAATCGGAATCAATTTAAGATCTTGACAACCAGCTTGTATACACTATACACAGGGAGTAAAAGCCACGTTTTTCAGAAAAATTAATAATCATGCCCTACCTCTATCAAACTATTACCCGAATCCTTCTTCCTCAACCCCATAATCTTCATTCCTTCCCTTAGTTCTTGTACATCACGCCATCCTTCCATAGCTGCGTGGGAATTAGACAGTAGCACATAATCTTCAACACTTTTAGGCCCAGCTTCGTGAAAAATCTTTGCAACACGATTTGCTAGCTCCATATTACTTTGCTTTTGACATGCTCCTACCAGCATTCTCCTCACCACAATATCTGGTTTTAATGGCATTGCCTTAGCAAAGTCCAATGCCTCTTTCACTAGCCCCGCCCTGCATAGAAGATCCACAATACTTCCACAGTGCTCCATCCATGGCTCTATATAATAATCATCAATCATTGATTCAAAACATTTCAATCCCTCATCCACTAAACCTGCATGGCTACAAGCAGTTAAGATGCTGAGGAAGATGACACCATCTGGTTTAAACCCTTCTCTCTGCATCTGGCAGAACCGGACTAATGCCGGTATGCCATGTCCATGCCTTGCTAACCCATTAATGATTGTAGTCCAAGAGACTAGAGTTTTCTGCACCATTCCATCAAAAATTTGGCAGGCCTTCCTCATATTACCACATTTGGCATGCATGTCCATTAGAGCATTTGCAATAGAGTGATTCTCTTTACTAATCATGTTCTTCTGTAGATAGTCTTCAATCTGTAGTCCAAGTTCAAAGCGTCCCAATTTGGAGCACATTGAAATTAACTGTAACACGGTAACCTCATCTGGTCTCATGTTTTCAGATACCATCTTGGTGAACAAATTCAATGCCTCACGTGGACAGTTGTTATCAACATAACCCTTGATCATTGATGTCCACGAAATCACATTTCTTGAAGACATCAATTGAAAGATGAGGAGGGCTTTTGAAAGATCTCCACAATTTGAATACATTCCAACCAACGCATTGCTGAGAAAAATATCAAAATGGCCGAGATTTCTGATCACATAACCATGGACTACTCTGCCCTCTTTCAATGCTTTCATCGAAGAGCAAGAAGAAAGAACACTTGCTGCAGTGACCTCATTGGGCAGAACATTGTTCATGACCATATCTTGCAAACCTTGAAGTGCTTTCAAAGGGAAACCCTTTCGAGCATATAAAGCAATAAGGGAGTTCCACATAACCAAATCTCTTTGGGGCATTTCATCGAACATTTGTTCCGCGTAAAAAATCCTATCGTGAGACGCATACATCTGCATAATGGCAGTTCGGATTATGAGCTCATGCAAGAATCCCAGTTTGTACACTTGAGCGTGCAACTGTTCCCCTTGAATTATGTTAATCTCGCACGATTTGATTGCAAATAGAAGGGTATAACCATCAACCACGAAAGCTCTTCTTCGTAAGAGGGAATAAACTGAAAAGGCTTCTTCCGGTCTATTTGCCTCCAAATAACCTCTGGAGATTGTGTTCCAAGTGTAAGTATCAAGACCATGAATACCATCAGCGATTACACGGGCCATAGAAGTAGTGCCCGGAAGGGAACTCAGGGCCAAAGAGGCAACAAGTTTGCTTGCTATAGAGCGCTTTTGGATGAGACCTGAAATGATCGAAAGAGCAAGAATTTGGTTGAGTTGACGCTTCCCTGTGTATCTTTGCAATAGGAAAAAAAAGCTTTCATATCTTGGTAGTTGAGTAATTCGAGTGGGAATGCTTGGACTAGAAATTGATTTTCCCAACATCTCCGTATATCTTAGAAGAATGTCTACCAGAGTCTCTTAGCATTTTGAGAGAACATGGAGTATAAGAGTACAAAGAAGGCGGGGAAAAATGAGAATGTCAAAGAGGTTGAATGTGTTGGACATTAGATTAGTGATCATTTCAATAGAATTAGTTAATTAATTGATTCTCTCATGAATTCTTTGCTCAAATAAGACGGCGGGAAATACAAGTAAAAAAATTGAAACAAATAATTTTAAACTCTTATTAAAAAAGATGGAGAAATTAAAGTAAACAATTACAAAAATTATTGTCCAAAATATTTTCATTAACAACATTTTTAAAAACTTAATAAATGATAAATTATAATAGTATCGCGTCATTTATATAGTCGATCTCATTTAATAAAATAAAATTTAATATTATTGTTGTTGTATAAATTTCTTGGATAAGTCAACTTGCCTCCCTTATTTCTATGCCTCATCCTTCCGCGCAAGGGCCATGCTAATCTTTTTAGTTGACTTTGTGATAATATAAAACTGGTTGGACTTGGCATTTTGCCCGACTGATCTTAAACATCATATTATACTTTCATAAAGCACATGAAACGTTTCGATATGATAAATATGATATTATTTTAATTTTTAATCTTTTGGCTTCCACTAGATAGTATCATCAATTCAACTCATAACGGTCTCTAACTCAATGAATTCCACATGTGATTCACAAATTCTTCTATAATTATTTTGACTAATTTATTGGGATATTCTCAGCACATGATATATGTTTGAATTAATATACTATTAAGCGCCAGAAGGTATTAGAAGGTGTTTCTTTCTTGTTTTTTTTTTGGCCAAAAAGGAATTTGAGGGTGTCGATGTCATGAGAATAGAAGAATCATTAAATATTGAATTGAGAAAAAATTATATAGTATGCATTTATTTAATTTATAAGAATATAAATTATCAAATCCATCAAATTTTTTGGGCCAACAAATCCACCAATTATAAGAAATTAAATATGCTAATCAATTAAAATAACATTACATAAAATTTTATCTAGATGACTTGAAGCATTTTAATTGGATAAATTATAGATAACGTAATGCACTCAATCTACTTAATAATTTCTTTATATATTTAAATACTGGAAAATTCAAAATTAATTACTAATGTATGTATCGAAGATCAATTAACATCATTTAGAAATGTTATAACCTTGTGTCAGCATATGCCATAAACTGAAATTAAATTTCTTGTCATTGAACAATTACGACGGGCTCTTATTCTAGCAATGCAGAAACTGAGACCTAATCCTAATTGGGATTGGCTTTTCTCCTTCACAGAGGAGCGCAGAAGAGAGAATTTTACAAATTCGGACATTGAATTTGGTAATTTAAATATGATAATTTTTAAAAATATAAATTTAATTTGGATGGTTAAAATTTGTAATAGATCAGTAATGCGAAGAAACCCTTTTCCTCCTAATTGATATGATACGCACCTTGGTACTCAGGATATCTCCAAGACCAAATTTGTGCATCTACAGGTGCACGTAAAACTCCTCAAAACTCCCATATAGGACTATCAGGCTATCCTACTAACACAACCCTACAAAAAGGGGATGTACTTTAATATCACCCCCCTTGGGATCTCAAAGACGGCAATGGAAATCTCACAGCGTTGTCACTTGGGAGACTAGATAGAAACTTGCTCTCTGTATGAACATTCGCCAAAGGTGAGCTCCCGGTGGCGAAAGGGACAGACCTCCGGCTCTGCTTGGCTAATCTGTAGATTGATAGCTATTCTAATATAGCCACAACCTCAGACATTCGGGTTATGATTTTAGCCTCACTAATGCACTGTAATGCAAGGATTGCAACAACATAAGCGGCCCTCTGTGGGTACTTCCCTTTTAACTTGGTGTCCATAATCCTGAAGAGCTTTCTCTTATCACCCAAAAAGGATGATTTTGCCCATTCTACCAAATTTTGTTCCACTCTAGATTTTATTTTGTCAATGACACAACACCCAGATAGTAGCTCCAAAAGCACAACCCTGAAGCTATAAACATCACACCTTGTAGTTAGCCGACCTGCTCAATGTTTATTTTGGCATCAGATGCAAGGAAAAACATAGCATTGATATGACATCTTAAAAAGGATGAAGTTTATGAACCGAAGTTCAAGGAGTGAAAGTGGATTTTGTTGGTGAAAATGGTAATATGCTAATGATTAACGGATTTAAAACTCCAAGTGATCATTGATAAGCGAAAAATGATACGGATGTCACTTAAGGGTTACGAATGGACAACAAGATTATTATATGGGAATAAAATTAGATGACACAAATAGATAGACTCGGACTAGAGACTAAAGAGATGGAATTATAGAAAGCGTTATCTTTGATAACTCTAGAAACTAGGTTCATTGCCTCAATGAATAAGAAAAGTGATTTTGGTAAGGTCAGATTCTATAATATATCACTCTGAATCCTCTGCAGAAATGCCATAGTTCAGTAAGATAGACTGTGATGCATAAAAGTAAAAATGTGTATAGCGCCCACTTCCTCTCTTCACACACATCCTTTTTAATCTTTTATTTTCTTCATTTATTTTTTACTTCACTACATGCAATAACTAAATCAAAGACCCAAGATTATTGGACCAGCTAAAAAAAGAAAACAAAGCTATAAGCCAATAAGCTCCACAACGACAAAAGAATCAGAGTTCACTACACCCAAAAGTAGTTTATACAAAGACAATTATATGTAAATGGAAACTGTCAAAGTTTAGGTGTTGATCTTTACGTCAGTTTATATGCCATCTCCCATCCAAACCTTAAATTTATCTTATTGTCTAGTTGAAACAGAAATTTGAGAGATATTCGCTAAAACATTGATTTAGAATTTCTGTTAGTAATCTTGGCAAAAGAACCTTAAAGGTTTGTGCCAAAAAGCTTGACAATACAAATCATGCAAAAATTATACCTATGACAATATACTCAGTAGCAGCATAGTTGTGAGTGCCCATGACTTGAGTTGAAACATGAGAACGATTACTAGTTAGTCCTGCTTTAGCCAACCCAAACTCTATGAGTTTTGCATTAAATCCCTGCATTTGTAGACAACCCATATTCAATGTATCGTACAGAGGATGTGACATTGAAGTTACTATTCTTCATTCTAAGTTATTTTCTTATCTTTTTTTTTAAACTAATATTATTGCCTTCCCTCATTGTTGGTAGAGGAGGGTTATGTATGCCAATCCCTTCATGTTTTACAAATATCCTTCACCAAATACCATAGTATGGAAAGCATGCACTGCTCAGCCAACTTACCGAATCTAATAATACATTTGAAGGCTTAAAATCACGGTAGATAACTTGTCGATTAGAATCATGTAGAAGGCAAGACCTCAAGCTGCATCAATGGCAACTTTGATCCTTGTTGCCCATGAAAGTGACTATGAGATCTCTGCAAGCAAAAGTTCTAAAGTTGGTGAACACACAATTTTGTGGAAACTTTGGTGCCAAATAAAAGATAATTTCTAACAAACTAGATAGCTTAAAATACAGTTATAACCAAAGTACAGCCAAGTAAAAAGTGTATTATTCTCTAAAAAATATTCTACAAGCATCCACATACTGCGAAATAGATAGTTCTCCAAGCTGCCTTTAGGCATATATTCATGTACTAGAAGTCGGTTTTTCCATCTAGGCAATATCTAATAGGTTTAACTAGATTTAGATGATGAAGTTGGCTAAGATAGTTGATTTCAAACTGTACATGAAGAAATTTATGATGTTTCATTATTTCAAGGAAAAGCAGCTGGATTAAGTGTTAAGAAAAGTAACTTACCAACCACTCCTTATGCCCTTGAAAACCTTCAGGTTTCAACTTCTTCACGGCCACAGCCATTCCAGATCTAGGCTTGGTAGTACCTAAGGATTGCTCGTCAATCCAACCCTTGTGGACATCACTAAAGCCCCCTTTATCTTATTAGACTGTGAGGACCAAAGTTTCTAGTAGCATTCTTAAGTTCATTAAACGTGAAGGCCTTTAAATTTGGTGAGGAAAGTATATCACCTTCAAATCTTGGAGCACAAAGAGTCTGAGATTTATCTTTGTTGTTGTATTCAAACCCCAGTTGGCTTAGATAGGAATGGGTGCTTCTACCAGGAACTTTTAAAGCATCTGTAAATGATTTTTTATTTGATTGAAAGAAGAAGTTTTGGTAAAAGAAAGAGAAGAGCATGATGTAAAATTCCTTACTATTAAACAGAATTAACCAAACAAACTCATGGTAATTAAAGGATTAACCCAATTAGGAGATTACCAAGTTTTATTTTCAAAATAAGGGATTCCAAGTTTTTAAAATCAAAATGAGTTTAAATCATTCACAATCTCTTATATCAGAGTAAAAATAAGTTACAGAAGTATAAGATATCTCAGAGGAGTGAAAAAGAATGCAAACAAGTAAAGAACTACTCATTTGTTGCATGACAAGGTAATGCATCGTGGCTTATGCACGTCGTGCCGTAATAGCTCAAGCAGCCATGCACCGCAACGTGTTGCACACATTTGACAGCAAATTACACTGTCATTTGACAGTAGAATTAGGGAACTTTCGATGCTTCTCGATTCTCCATCCTACGTCTGAATGACATGATTTAAATGTCTATGAAAAAAACTTTTTATAAACTAGATAATGGCATAAGTTTTACTTCCAAAACAAGTCACACTAGAAAGTTAGACACCCAAATATATTTTTATCACTTTTTACAACTTTCACATAAAAAAGGTGTTCAAAACCCACAACGAGTGTCAATAGCCATTTCTAATACCCAAACCGTACTCATTAGACCTAGGACTATCGACACAACATGTCACACATACTTAATTATCAATATAAGACAAAATCACTTCTCAACCCCTTTTCTACTAAAAACGAAAGGGGGAGGTAGTTTCCTTACATTTACTCATAAATCGAACATGACATGTTTAAAATATTATTTATACACTTGCACTAGTATTTTTACCTTATTGACATATATTTCTCATCATACACAATTATTAAGGGATCAAAATATATTTTAGATAATTGCTACAATAAAATAGT